TGTGCCCCAAAACAAGCATGCGGCTCAAGAAGAAAGCTAGGAGTAAAGGTAGGAGAACGAGTCGCAGGGTGAAAGCTTTGCAAACCCTAACTACCTTAAACGCCAAGGCAGGGGTGTCCGAGGAAGTGGCGTCAGAACAGGCTTGTCTATGAAGCTTCCCCTTCCACATGAACACTGGGCGCAGCCAGGCGGTATCTGTGAGCCAGGTCATGGGATATTCTGGCTTTATTGGCGCCAGTGCCATAGGTGCCGAAAGAAACGCAGTGCCGGCATCAGGTTGCCGGAAGGATGAGTCAGGTCCGGCTGCAGTGTCGTGCGTCCGAGCCGGAACTAGAGCGACTGGATGAAACTTCCGTGCCACTGCTTAGCACGGCATCCTCAAGATTCAAGATAGTCTGCGACGAGTACACCGCCGTCCTCAACATGCAGAAACATGGCATGCTGTGTATGCCAGGCTTGGCCGCCGGTCACGGAGACATGGATTCCTTCTGGACACCTTGGTGTGAGCTGCACCACCAACACCTCGAGATCTAAAGAACCTGGTCCAAAGTGTTGCCAGGAGAAGGCATAGAGCAGCGGGCAAAGGTCCAAAATACATTGGCGCCCCTGAGCGCCGAACAACAATGAAACGGAACGGACATAGTGACCGAAGTACAAGTGATCCCAGATGTGTGGATTTGCCGGTCGAAGGATAATCCATCGGCCTGGAGTCCGTTCCTTGTTGCTAAGGCCTGCCGAGGTGAGGAGGGTCGACTTCGAGCCACTGGGAAACATATGTCAGACCCCGTGGTCAGAAGGAGTAGCCTATCATCATACCCTCCTGGACGGACAGGATCAGCCTGCCATCCAAAGGCTGGAAAGAGCATATCATCCAAGGACGCTTCAATCAAAGCAGGATGATTGACCCGAGCTATAATGATCAAGTCTCCATGTCGAAGCGTGATGCGGGTATGCCCTTCCAGGGCCCACGGGATATCTCGGATGTAGAGCAAGACTTCCGGCCTGTTGACAACCTCTATCGTGGAGAGGATGATAGCTTGGTCAACCGAGGGCAAGAGCAGACCGATGGCTCAATCATGATTGTGCTGTCCGTCGACAAAAAACATGACAACGTCGAGTGGCCAAAGCGGTAGTGCGCCGAGCACCGCAAAGTTTCGACGCGTTCTGCATGCTGCAGGTGCCCTGTGGCAAGCCTTAGCGGGTCAAGCTGTGGACTCCGATCCTAGGAAGACGCCTGAGTACAGGGCGAAGGTGATCAACCCTTCGGAAGACCGTCCTGGGGTTACGGAGGCTGACCTTGCTGCCATTAACAGATGGTTGGCCGCAAGGCCGCGGCGTTTTGGGCCGAAGGAACTGCCCGTACTACGGTTTGAAAGTTTGCGCAAGATTGCGTGCCTACGGGGTCTCCGGTCAGTTAACCACACGCGCTCCGGGGTGAGGCGGCGCAGTGGGTTGACGATAGGCTCGAAGAAGAGGGCCCAAGGTAGTCCATTCCGATGAGAACTGGCACAAGGGACGACCTATCCAGGTTATTGTTGTAGTAGGCATCGGGGTTGGGAAGCGCATACAGTGAAAAGTGCTGTGGTTGTCCAGACACACGACTACACACATTTACTCGGCACAAAGCTCGTCCCCAACGCCCATTCCCAAACCTGAAATACGGTCGCGGATTGCTCGAGTTCAATCTTGGCACCCTTGTCCTGAGTGAGAACGGCTGATATCAGACTTCTGACAATAGCCTCTGGTGCTGCCGATGCGGTAGCTCCACAATCTAACATGCCTACACTAGGCGATGCTGTCTGCACGCCCGTATTGCGGTGATCTCCATGGCCGCCGAAACTTCAAGGCCTCCAAGAAAGAGGTCCGACGCATAGGCATTGACACTGCGGTGCACGCTTGAGCCTCAAACATCATCCCCTTCTTGCCCTTGGTTATGTATGTTATCTATAGTCTTTTGACAACATATCTATAACATTCTTTGATTAAATCCAATACTGGGGGTTATTTCGCAACCGCAAGTGTGGAAATCATGGAAACGAAAGAAACCATGGATATAAAAGGAACGAAGGAAACTATGGAAACCATTGAAAGCATAGAAACCATAGAAGCCAAGGAAACCAGGGAAACCATGCAAGCCATAGAAACCATGGACACCAAGGAAACCACGGATTCCACACAAACCATGAAAGCCGAGGGAACCATAGAAACCAAGGAAACCCTGGAAACCGCGGAACGCATGGAAACCATAAAGGCCAAGGAAGCCATGGCAGCCATGCAAGCCATAGAAGCCCAGAAAAAGAAACAAGAAAGCCATAGAAACCATAGAAACCAAGGAAACCCAGGAAACCATGCAAGCCATAGAAACCACAGAAGCCATAGAAACCAAGGAAACCCAGGAAACCATACAAACCCCCTGTAAATAGTACTGCACTGACACAAAAGCGTTTGCATTTGACCCTTTTTGGCGTTTGGATTTGAGCCTTTCTTGCGTTTGGGTTTGACCCCTTTCCGCGTTTCGATTTGACCCCTCTCCCATAAGCAGTCGTGCTTGCAAGGGAGGGCACGTACCCTGGTGCCCCCTCAAAGCTGAGATCTGCTGTCGGGTTGGCCGTCATTGGCGACGTAACACCGCTCGTGTCTGGGAATCAAGGGTTCGAAGCCGTTTGTGCCAGCGTGGCGAGGAGGGAAATTTGCCTATGGCGAAAAAGCTGGAGTGCTGGGGTTTTTCGCAGCTACGCCTTGGCGATTCGGGCCCTACCACTCAAAATACTATCTGTTCCAACAGAACTACAGACCTAAGCCCGGAAACTCCCCAAGGTACGTACGACTGCGAAATCTTTCCCGAAACCCACCGAGGTGCATGCGAAGGGTCGCAGCTGCAGCGCGCTGGCAGCATGTCCAGCCTGCCGAGGCTCCTTAGTTTCCAACGATCTGAAACGGCTTGGATTCAATGTCCCGGCCACCTCGTTTCATGTCTCACGCCACTTGGCTGCTCTCCCCAACCAGTGCATCTCGCAGAAGCTCTTGTTTACGGTTGTCCCTGTAGCCGGGCTACTCCCGCTCCATCTCAGGCTGCATGTCTGCAAGTGATGCAAATGCATGTGCAAAGTACCCAGGCAGCATGGAGGCAGTCGCTGACACTTTAAAGACGGGCGTGCACCTTACGACGTCACGTCAACCGGAGCTAGATGTAAGTGCAAGCAGGGTGGTTGCTCGTGACGACAGCGACTGCGAACGAGCCGGACGCGCAAGACCACCACTTTTCAGCGAATGGCCCCGCGCTTCCGATCCGAGACCCCTTTGCAGGAAGCCTCTTCATGGTCGGCTCTGTCGCAGAAGCCGTCGAACACATCAGCATACACATCATTCCACAAAATCTAACCAGGGGAAGCGTGAGTGCAAAACAAGGTGAGGTTCACGCCCGTCCCCACACAAGACAGCTCCGCGAGGTCCCTGCGAGAACAGCTCCGCGTGCCCCGGTTGCATGCAGTGCCGGTTGACGCCTGGACTGTGCGGCAGAACGCGTGAGATGAGGTCTCTTCATGGACGGTCACCTTCAAACCAGGTTGAAGAGCGGGATAGGCTATTGGAAGTTGTGGCTTGGGATTTGCCCGCGAGATCTTAGGCTTGAGGGATGTTGGGGATTTAGGACACTCGGATGTCGTTCCCTTTCTGCCTTGAGTCCTGGGCCTAGGGCCTAGGGTTGAGTGATGTTGGGGTTTGGATCTGCGGGTTGTGGGTTTTGGACTTGGCTTCATGCGGAAGGCTCGGATCGAAGGGTTCCTTACGTTGTGTAGGCTGAGCCGACGGCTTCCACGGTTGTTACTGGGAGATTCCAAATGCGGGGCTCAAGTTGTGGGCTTTGCTGGACAGCAAGCCTCAGTGCCAAGCATGTTCAACGGGTCATCCTCTAATTCTCTGAGCCCCAAAAATAAAAACCCTGAGCCCGAAAGCGCTCTAGCCTTACAGCCCTAGACCTGCAACGCTGCGTCCCAAAACCCGAAACACATGTTCATGTCCGAATCCTCCTAACCCATAAACTCTCCGAATCCTAAACCCCTAAATCCCGAAACCCTTAAACCCTAAACCCCTAAAACCCTAACACCCTAAAATCCGAAAATTCCCTTACTAAACCCCCTAAACCCCTTAGACCCCCCTGAACCCCAACAATGCAGTCTGCTTGGCATCACCTGTGCCGCCCTTTCCGCGCACGGCGACTTCCAGCCTGAAAGAAGGGTCCTTAAGGGTTCTTGGGAAGGAGGAACTCTATTTTTCAGTGACCACACTATGGATCTATAGTACAGAACTCATATAAATCTAAATTCTAAATATACATAGTAGGGGGGTCTATAGTACAGAACTCATATAAATCTAAATTCTAAATATACATAGTAGGGATTTATAGTACATACTTGCTTTCCTCTTGACAAGAACCCGGTGGTTGACCAATCTGTTAAACGTCCTGGAAGACTAGCACCGACAGCAATGACGACCAAACATGGATAAGAAGAGTATTCATCATCATGCTGACAATAGCAGATGCTCCGGCAGCACAGTCTGGACGACAAAATACCACCGAACCCAGGCAGAACGGGGGAAGGCAAGCTTGAACGTGCCGGAAAATCGGAGGGAGAGAGGGAGAGAAAGACAGAGAGAGAGAGAGAGAGAGAGAGAGAGAGAGAGACACACACACACACACTCAAAGGAATCTACCGGCGAGTCAGACTGCTCAAACTTGAAGGAAGCAGAAAGGTGCAAAAGGGATTGCCCAAAGCAGTGAGAAAAACTCTTGCCCGAAATATTGATGACGGACTTCTTGCGGTCGTGTGCTGGTGCTTCTGCAAAAAACACATCAACCTCCGTTCCGCAGATGCCTCTACGGTCAGAGCATCGCGCATGGCCTCTTTTGATGTGCAGCTCTTTGCTGAAAGGCTGTAATCGAAGGTCCTACGACATTGCAGTGCTTTGCACTGCAAGCCAGAACTACAAAACGGTCAAAGTCAACGGCTCGGATAAACGGTCGCAGTCTTCAGGACCTTTCCTTGGATTCAGGGCACTCTTCGAGACTGGCTCTCCTAGCCCTAAACAGCGAAACCCTAAACGGCCACGAGGCGTCCGTGGTCTAGGGTCTGGAGATGAAGGGTTCACGGTCTACTTCAGAAATCCAAAGAAGGAAAAACAAAGCTTGCCTGAAGCACGGGGAAGGCTCCGTCATAGTTGATGGACTCAATGTAGATCTTGCTCTTGTCGACGGTAAAGTCGTAGAATCCATACCTCAGTCTCGCACAGAACCAAGCCAGGCAGGTGGGAGCCTTTCAAAGACAGCAACCTGCTCACAGAAGTGGAAGGTGAGTCCTGCACATGTGACTATGATGATCAGTGTGCTATACTGCAATATTGCGGCTCTACAACTAAACGCTTTGCATATGTTGCAGCAGCTTGTTGCTGTGGCTGCTTAGCTTAGTATCAACATGGTCGTGCGTGTGTAACTGTGTAACATATGTAACACTGCTCGCTATTTCTTCGGGGTCATTCTTCGTGTGGCTGTACCATGAACTTGATTCTTGCTATGGTCAGAAGAAAGCATGATCATTCTTGCCGGTACGTATGTTTCGTGGCATTCTTTTGAAGAGGAGTCGCTGCCCCTCGCCGTACCAGTGCGTGCGGTCCATGGGATTCGGTGTTGCCTCGGACGTGATCCCTCCGCCACCTGAGGGTAGGGCCGTAATGACAAGACTGGGGCTTGCGGGTAATTATTGTGACCACATCTATAGTGGCTACAAGGGGTATATTGTACTGCAAGTCATGATCCATCATTCGCCAACTTCGGCGGCGTAGAGGCTTGAGGGCTCAAAGGGCTTTGATGCGCTTTGTGTGATCTTCTCAGAACTCCCCACCTCCCGTCACGATGCAGGTCATGCCGCCGGGGCCCGAGTGGTCGTGGAGCTCCTGGTCGTGGCGGTGGCCGGTGACCAGGAGGTCCATGCCCATGCCGTGGAGCTGAGCATAGAAGCCGCTCTCGTGGCCGCAGGGGAAGTGGGTCAAACCGATCTGCCAATCCGCGTTGCTCTGCGGCACCTTCTGCAAAGCCCAGGCCTTGTTCTTGCCCCAGAACTCCATGAACCACTGGTGGCACGAATCCACGTTGGCGGGACCCCCGATAGAAGCACATGTGGCTCCTGGGGGGTTGTGCTTTCGGCCGCACATGTTGTGCTCTGGGTCCTCCTCGGGGGACTTGGCATCCATGGCATTGCTGTCGATGGCGAAGACATCGATGGAGAAGCCCGAATACTCGATTCTCATGCTGTAGTATGGTGCAGGCATGATCCATCGGTTGCTGGCCCAGGTGTAGGCAATCTGCTGGTCCCAGCCGTTGTTGAACTGCCTGCCTCCCCAGTCGTGGTTGCCAAGGACGCTGATCCAGGGCTTGTTGCTGAGGCCACCGCCTTGGTAGACACCCTCGAAGATGGAATCGAACTGATGGCGCGTGGTCGAGGTAATGCCGTGCATGGAGGCGCCGCAGTTCTCCTCGATACCTCCCCAATAGAAGTTGTCCCCGACGTTCAAGATAAAGTCCGGGTTCACCAGGCCGGCACGCGCCCTGAAGGCATTGGCAACCAGGATCTGCGGCTGCGTGTCGACTCCTGGGACGAAGCCGCAGCCCGGGACGCAGTGCTCCCCCTTGTGCTCTCCCCCATCGAAGCAAGCCACAAACTGGTCGTGGGAGCAGAGGAGCTCCGAGTGTGCCTTGTTCCAACGGGTGCGCGGGAAGACGTGGGGCCCCGGAGTCTGGCCGCCGCGGTAGGCGATGATCCGGGGCCGGCAGCCGGGAGTGTGGCCATGAGGCATGCACTCATTGGGAGGGTGAAGGGCTCCATCCATGCCACCCCAATCCCCAATCGCAAAGAAGTGCGCCGGTCCGCTCTTCCCCACCTTCAAGGCCGGCCACTCGATGCCGTTGTACTGGAAGGGCGTGCTTGGGGGCCCCATGAGGTGCTGGGAAGCGTTCTGGATGGCCTTGGCCCTGGCGCCCAGCTGGAGCTCCGACACCGCGCACTCCTCGGAGTCCCGGTCGCACTCGTCGTCGTGGGCCAAGGACTTCTGATCCCAGCCGTCGGTGCTCTGCCCCAAGCGGATGGAGAGCGCGAGACCGAAAGCCAGCTTCTTCGCGAACGCCATTTGGGGCTGCAAAGAATCTCCGAGCACGTGACACTCAGAGTAATCACGAAACGGATTGCGTGTTCTTGGGCCTCCAACGGTGGAGAGAACAACTTGTTGTTTGCACACTGTTCTGGCCTATGCCACCCCCTACAATGCCCTACAACCCTGGCGCCTCTGCACACTCGCACACTCCCAGCAGTAAGAAGAGCCCTCAGAGCTGGATGCCATGGGACCGCTAGGAGCCACGGCCCTGGCGCGCGGGCGCTCGCCCCCATCGCACAAAGAAGCCTTTTGGAGGAGAGTCCGAGGTCGCAGCTTTCTTGCATCTGCATTCTGACGTTGTCAGCTATCAGAGAATCCTATCCGCTGTCGGTGGCATCTCAGCCGCACCTGGAAAACGGCATATCCTAGCCTTGAGGGGAGGGGAGCGAACGGAGTGCTGTTGCTTGCCACGCAGATGAGCATACGAAGAAATGCCCATCTCAGCTCTTGCTTGCACTCTGCTGCCAAATCCTGTACTGCAGCGGCCACACGAACAATCGAAGATTCCTTTTCCTGTTGAGACCGCTTTCCCACCGCTTTCGGAGGGGCTACAGCTAAAGCAAGAGGCTAGGAGCTAAAACACGGGAAAGCTTCTCTCGCTCTCCCGCTTCGAAACTCAGAAGAGGTCTTTGGCCTGTCGGGCAACAGCGTCTGAGTCAAGAGCTGAGAAGAGGTCCCCAAAAAATAAAAATAATGTCCGTGGCCGAAGCACCTTCTTCGCATTCTGCTGCTTCCACTTCGGCTGTTTGAGGAAGTCGGCCACGGCCATGCCGAAGACGGCCTGCAAGCGCTGCCACGGGGCGGAGATCTCTCTGGAAACTCGGGGCACATGCCGAGGAGCCTGGAACTCCTCGTCCGACAGATAGAGCTCCCTCCTTCCGGCACACGGAGTGCTCTCCCTCTCTCACAACCCTACGCCAACCAAAAACAAGGAGCTAAAAAATGCAGCAAAAGTGCTCCCAAAACCCCGTGCCTTGAGCCTAACTCGGACTCGGACCGTTTAGATCTTTTGGGCCACAGGGCCTGGCTGGGTCCACATCCTGCGGCCGGCCGTTGCTAACCCGCAGCTCCTGGCAGAGAGGGATGCGCGTTGGCGAAGTGAAGGGGGTCCTTCCTAGATTTTTTTTGTCTCCTAGACTCTTAAACCCTAAGCCCTCACTCGGTGGGTTTACCCCCTTTGGTGGCCCCCGTGTTTTGTGTGAGGTTGTTGGGGAAGTACAGTTGGCAGGGCACGGCATCGCGGCAGAGCAAGAGGACATTACGATTCGCGTCGCGGGGTCATGTTAAGGTGTTGGATTTACAGGAGAAGGACCCTTAGAAAGGTAAGATCGGTCGGGTTCAGGAAGGGTTGAGGAATCTCGCAACCGAGGGCTCACGATCGAGTCTCGCCTCGATCCTGCTGCTTGTGGCAAGCATGGCAAAGTTTTGCGGGAAGCTAACGATTGTGGGGGCCTCCGGGTTTGGGGGGTATCTTGTACTAAGCATGTAAGCAACAGTGTTGGAAAGTACTATGGCTTCTATATCTTTGGGAAGTCACAATTCACTGGGTCATGTCTTGCATACCTGCATACGTACCTGTCGAAAACGATAGGAGGACGGTAGACATATCTACAGCGCAGAGAAGCGCAGAGCAAATAAACACACGGACATCCTTATTTGCTCCTTCTTTCCTTCCTTCCTTCCTTCGCTCACTCACTCATTCATTCAGTCGTTCATGCAACACATACATACATCCATCCATCCGTCCCTCCACGCATGCATGCATACATCGTGGCTGTCATTTTCGTTCAGCCTTCCTCGCCATGCACCTTCAACCCGAATCCCAAATCCCAGGCCCAACTCTTGCCTTGAACTTTGAAGCTCCAAAATGCCCGAGACCGAACGGGAACGCTTCAAGGAGGCTTTCTTGAAGGAGCAAGGAACCTGATTAGGGGTATATTGCACTGTAATAAATAGAGTAAGGAACTCTAAGCCTCTAAGCAAGAGCATTAGCAATTCACAGGCTCATGTCTGGCATGCATACGTACCTGTAGAGTATGCATGTCGAAAACGATAGGAACACGATATACATATCTGCAGTGCCGAAAAGCGCAGAGCAAATAAGCACACAGACATCCAAACTGGAACGCTTCAAAAAGACTTTCTGGAAGGAACAAGGAACCTCATTAAGGGATCTGTGTGTTTTTTAGAATGGAGAAGAAAGCCCACCTCGTGGCGGTACTTCCGCTCCGCCGGGTCTGCGTAGTCAGCTCCCTGCTCGGTCGCCTGAAATCAGAGGCAAACCGAGACAGAGAGAGAGAGAGAGTTCAGACACATTGTATGTGTATGTAAAGGGTTTTCAGTGAGCGAAGGGCTGCGATGGCAGCAGAATCAAACAAATGGACATGTTCGGACATGTTGGTCCCAGGCAAGGCACAGCGCATCCTGCCTGGATTGCAAGCTAAGAGTGTGGCCGGCCCTGTGGGCGAGACCCAAACTATTCTTAAAAGGGCCCACGGCAGTTCGGGGAGGGCTCGCGGACGTGCAGATCATGACTGTGCACAAGCATGAAAGTGCACACAGACAGAAGATTGAGGTAGACAGGATGCAAACTACTACATACACACTACGAGCTGCTATGGGACCCCCAAACGACCACCACAATGACCACTAACACTATGCCACCAATCCTCACAGCAACGGACAATTAAATGCCAGTTTGACTGCCCGTCACTCTGTGATTTGCCTAAACCCCTAGAGCTGCTGTTGAAAAGTGCATTGCAACATCCCCGCCTCTTTCCTTGTCAGGTTCCCCGTGTCGCCGGTGCGGTAGCCGATGTACCTACCGAGAAATGACAGGGCTAAGGGCTTGAAGGCTGGATGGTTTGGGGTTTGGGGTTTGAGGGCCTTTGAGTTCTAGGCGTGCACTAAGATCCTTGTTGGTAAACTCCCAGAAGACTACCACGGCACAATCAAAACAGAAGCTTGTCAGGCTTTCGAAAGTTTCACCCCATCTGCCTGCCAATACCATGAAGGAACACCAGCCGCTGATTCATTGATACACCGGACTGGACCCCAATCGGCCCATAGATCCTGCAAAGATAAGCAGTAAGCTGACTAGGATCCGCAACCTGAAGCCTCAACTCTAGAACCCCGAACCTTGATTCTACAACCTCACCAAAAAAAAAGCCTAGAATCCTTTAACCCTGGAGTCCCGAAGTCTTGAATCCTAAACCGCCGCCGTCTTTCGTCCCCTTGGCGCACGAGGTGTCGACTTTCCATCCACCGCTTTCCTCCGACGGGGATTAGGGTTTCGGGACTCAGGGCCCAAGAGCTTGTCTGCCAGATGAGGGTTTTGGGTTTATGCCTTTAAGGGTTTAGACTTTATAGGGGTTGCGGATTTCCGTTGAGGGCTTTCTGGGATGAGGGCTCCGATCTTGTAGGAGCATTGCTGTTGTCCGAAAGGGAGCAAGGGAGGGACAGAGGCAAAGCAAGAAAAGCGGATCAGCGCATAACCTGTCGAGATGCAGGAAAGGGCATTCATAATCAGTATTTTGCAGCACTCGCTTATACGCAACTATATTGCTATATGATACTACATCATCTCACTTTCTGTTGTGTTACACTTTCGTAGAGAAACCGTGGGCATGGGGGCAAATGACTGCCTTCCGCACTGAGGCCGATGGAGCCACCCGCTCCGGCGCCGCCCTCGCAGAGGAGCTAGGGTTTTGGATTTAGGGTTTATAGGGTTTAGGGTTTATAGGGTTTAGGGTTTAGGGTGTAGGGTGTAGGGTTCGGTGTTTAGGGGCTTCAGGGGTTTATGCAAGACGTCTGCGGACCATCCAAGCGAGCAGCACGCCAAGATGCTTAACCAGGCGACATACCATGTTAAATACAAATTCAAGCATTGCGCCCTTGAAATTAAGATCGAGCGACGTGAGACTTTACAACTTTTTGGGACAGTGCCAGTGGCTTCAACGTGTGTTGTGCCGAGGGATATCAGGCAACCGCCACATGAGCTATTTCTCATGGTGCGGATTACCCCGCCATTACTCGGGCTA